GTTCGCTCCATCGGTGATGTTGGATTCGTTCTGAGGAAATACGTTCCCTCGAGCCTGGAAGGAGAATATAAACAGACGTAGAAGGGAAGCGTTCAGTCACATACGAAAGTCGTGTTGTATGAATGAGGCTTTGAAACCTTAACCTATAAAATACGTGTCGCATTATTTATCTGTTACATGAGCTGTGTTACTGAATTTACATATCGATTTGAATAAATAATGTATATTTCATGAACGTGTTCGTATTGAACTGAACTGATGAAAGATAATTGAAATAATGCACTTTTTACTTCCAGCCACTGGTATGGCCATCAATTAACACAGGGTTTCCCAACCTGGGACCATAGAGCCGTACAGTATGAAAATTTTGACGTCGAATTTAATTGAATTTTATCTCACCTGCAGCACCTACATATAATAATCTCTCATATACCAATTAACTGGATTTTTCCCATATCGTGTTTTATCCTGTGGCTATTGACACCATTGCACTGTTCATAACAATTATCTAGTCTCAAATAAATTAAAGTGAGTTTATGTAACAATTGTATTTAATTCCTAGATTGAAAATGGGTTTATTGCGGATGTGACTCGCAACTACTACGGGGATGAGGCCCGAGATAGCTAGATGAATCACTGAACGGGGTCATGCGGATTATTATATATTGGTCAAGGGCCACTGAATTAATAGAAAGGCTTCTGTGAATGTTGTGGTGAACACTAGACTTCAAACTTACTTTAAAGAAACTGCATTAAGAACCTCGCATTGTTTTTAATTGCGAATACAAGCATACTTAACTGCGTTGTAATCAATTATGTTCATTTATCGAATGCAAGGATAGAGCAAAATCTTTCTTTCCTTGTAAATTGAAAAAAAAATGTGGCGTTTGAAGAAGAAAAAAATAAAGCATCAGCAAAGAGCACCACCAGTAATAAATAAATAAAAACATATCCTAAATCTACCCAGGCTCTTCAAGAAAGCCGCCTACCCTTGCTCCGCCGGGAAGCCCATGTCCAGGCAGCCGGAGGCGCAGTCGGGGCAGCCGCCGGTGAAGAAGGTGTCCCAGTCGCTGCAGGGCCACGCGCGGAACATCTCCTCGGCGTTGCGGGCCCTCAGGCTCTCCACCCAGTAGGCCGTGGCGCGGGCGTGACTGCAGCCGCCTGGGGGAGGAGTGGGCGGGTTAAGGGAGGGAAAGAATAAGAGAAATAACTTTTATTACCATGCAGCGAAAGAGATTAACGTAGAAAAACAACCATGAATATAAATGATAAAGATACCGATCCCATAAACCAAGAAAACGGTAATGATAACCGCAAAGACATGAAAACCCTATAAAAAAAAATTCTCAGCTACCACAACACACCACACTTCCCTCCATATCCCCCCCCTTCCCGCAGTCTTTCAGCCCCAGCCTCCCTTAGACACAAACTCCCCATCCCCGATTTCCTCACCGAAGAGATCAGTCCAGTCGCTCCGGACGTCGTTGGAGGACGAGCGAGCCGCCAGCGCGCATCCCGGCTGGTGCATCCCGCCGTTCGGGTAGAAGTCCGTGTGTCCGATGGCTTCGAAGAGTCCTATGCATCCCTGGAGTGTGTCGAGAGGTTGGTGAGGACTCAGAAAGGGTTTAGTCTATTGCCAGTGAATCGATTAATGATTATCCATTTCTTTAAAGGAAGTAGGTTGGGTGCTGGAAATACTGTGTTCTTAGGGCAGTGGATTGGAGAGGAGGGTAGAATAGAATATACAAATAGAAAACGTTGACAGAAACAGAGTGGAGATAGAGGAGATCTGTGCAAACCTGTTATGTTTTAAGAGGCTGGTGAGAAAGAACTTTTTTCGGTTTTTGAGGCAAAAAACTTTATATGACTAACATAGTGAAAGATGGGAGGGATATAGATGATTTCGGAAAGAATGGCACTTTCGAACCTGGAAGCATTTCGAGAAGCTGACGAAAAACGGAAAAGATTCCGTCGGTAATAAAGTGATAGTGTGTAGATGAGCCATGAGAAAAGGGGAGAAAGTAAAGGTTTGGGAAAATATAGGAAATAAGAGACATATAACACTAACAATTAAGGAAAACGCATAGAAATAATAAAACATGTCACTAAAATCCTTCCAACATAAAGCTCAAACCCTCCATCTTGATCACCTCGACAAGGGGCCCGCTGTTGGCATGCAAGATATCCACGAAGGCGGCGTCAGACTTGTCAATGCGAGCGTCGCCGGACTTGTTGTAGAAGAGCGGACCGGCCGGGTCGAGGCCTGAGGGGCGAGGGCAGGTTACTTTAACTTCTGGTCCGTTTATGGCACAAGTTTATCGCGTTTTAAGTATACTCATTTGTAACAGGATACACGAAACATTCACCAACATGAAAACCAAGAAAGTAAAGTAAAATAGAAGGGCAGATTCTCGTTGCTGACTAAAGTCACAACCATAAAGGTCGGTTAGGATTCATTGGGATAAAGTATGAATATGCTCTTGACATGCAAATCGCAGACAACTATCTATCTCCCTAAACAAAATATTTGAAAACAGAGCCATTGCTTCACAGAGACCCAGGAAAGTTTGCCACGCTTCCCGAGTGGATCTGTAATGGTGGAATAGAAAAATGAGAACATATTTTGTAACGGATGAAGATGGATGATTTTTAGATCACTCTAATACAAATGACATTGCTAGTAGTGGCGATAAGTCGGATGATAACGTAGGTGTGATGTTCTCATACCCAGGGCGTGTAAATATTTCGTGGAAGGCAATTTTTCACCGGGTAGGTAGTTTCACATTTGCTTACCGTTGGCCGCAAACCAATAATTCCACACAGTGACAGACCTTACGCCTTTTTAACGATGAAGTAATGGCACACGCGACACATTTTTCTCGGTGAAATGTATATACACCGACACATTCTCTTCCATGAAATTAATACACACCGACACGTTCTCTTTGTTGAAGTGAATACACACCGACACGTTCTCTTCGGTGAAGTGAACACTCACTGACACATTTTCGCCCCGTAAACTGAGAACAAGCCACATTGCCCGCCGTGAAATGAACACATTCCCACCTGTTACTCGCGCCACCTGTCCCGACGTGACGCGCTTCCCCGTCATGCCGGCCGTGTGCGCCCCGAGCGAGTGGCCGACGATGTGCAGCTGCGACGCCTGCAGCCCCGTGGCGTCGTGCAGCCAGTCCAGCAGCCCGGCGGTGTAGTTGCTCACCTGAGGGACGGAGAGGGCCTCGTGTAATAAAAATCGGGAAAGTTTTATTTGGAAAAGCAATGGAATAATTAGTGTAGCGGCGGACCGTGGGGTGCCAGGTTCTGGAGCAGAGGAAGTGTTGCGTCCCTTCGGTCGGGGCGCGAGTCACTAATCTAAAAGAAAGAAAGAAGAAGAAGAAGAAGAAGAAGAAGAAGAAGGAAAAGGGATCGAGCATTCATCTTTTCATTTTTAAAGCCGACAAAAATTCCGTCGGAACCAGCACGGCCTCACACGCCATCTTGGTGACCACCTGGCATTGGGATTATGTTTAGTACACAGAGCAGAGTGAAGTAGAAAATCTATATTTCATGATCATGTGCGGTAGAGGCAAGGTGATTTGGTATCTTTGGTAGCTTAAAAAAATAATCGAAAAATAATTAA